CATTCTCTTCAAGCAGCAATCCGAGTCATTCAATTCGTTTCATCTGGATTCGAGCATACAACAGGTCATGGGCATAGTTCATTCTCTTCAAGCAGGAACATAGCACACGTGCGGCCTGCCCGTAAATCTATTTTAATTTTTAATTTTTAACAACCCACTGAATCTAGACAATTGTGCATGGTTATTGCGTGTTGCCGGCATGGACATAAGACTGAAAAAATATCTTCTTTACCCAGCTGTTTTCATCCGCTCATTTGAATCGTGAATCGCTGTTTTGCTTGCTCCCCTCACACCCATCCTCTCCTGTCTCTTATACACATCTAGATGTGTATAAGAGACAGGTGTGTGTGTGTGTGTGTGTGTGTGTGTGTGGCCTGTGTCTCACTGTCCTGTGTCTTACTGGCTTGTTGGTGTTTCAGGTTTGGAATCAAGAAGTCCCAGATATGCATGGTGGGAGATCGGCTCGATACAGATATCTTGTTTGGCCAAGCAGGGGGGTGCCAGACACTTCTTGTCCTGTCAGGTAAGAAGAGAACTTTGAAACGTCAACATTTTTTTTTTTTCCCTCTCGTTTCCCCCACAGAAAATCGGTGTTTGGATTGCGTGGTTCCCTGCAAAAACGTGACAAGAAGAAGAAAACATAAAAACCTACATCCTCAAGATTCTATACCTCCTTTGTCTGGTGCGATCCCCGACGCAAGATCCCCTCCCACCTCACACCAACCTTTCAAATGAATGACCTGGCAAACATGCTCAGGTGTGCGCTGCGCGTGTTGCAGCATGGTGTCTTGTACTTTAAACTATGTTTGTCTTAAAGGACAAAAAAAAATAAAAAATAAAAAAAGAAAGAAATTCAAAGCCAGTTGCTGTGACACTTTTATCAATGTAATGACTATCCGTGAGGATAGAGCACTATAGTAGCATAGTGAGAGTTTTGTGAGTTAAGTAAGCAAGGACTCGAGGAGTATACACATGTAAAAAAAAGAAAACAAAACAAAAAAAAGAACTTGAAAAAAGAGTATACACTCGTGAATATGATGTGACAATTTTGCATGTGATTTCCCCGAAAGGCTGATTATCAAAACAAACTTTATCAAAGGTGTTTTTTTTTAACCTTTTTTTTTTTTTAAATGAAATAATATGCAACCATATCTAAAATACAAAGAATTGGTGAGAAGGTGAGGGGAGGGAAGAGAGGGGGAGGGAGGTAGAGGGAGAAGGGAGGAGGGAGAATAGAGAAAGAAGGGACGGAGACTCTGCCTACAACCACATGGTACTATTGTCAAGCATGTTGTTGGCTGTCAGAGTGTAGCTGAGGTTCCACTACCACCTTCCCCCCCGAACGGAACGCCCGTTCATTATGGCTGTATTTGGGGCAACTTTCAGTCCAGATGCGACAATAATGACCAAGCGTTCTATTCAGATGAAGACGGTAGCGCAGATCACGAGGTACTGACCTTCCATCGCTTCGCTATCTATAGCGATAATGACCATGCGTTCTGTTCGGGTGACGACAATAGTGGAATGTTGGACTATGTGGCACTTTTTGTTGCACCCCCCTTTTGCCCCTTTTCCTCAGTTAGTCCCACGGGACTCCCACCCCTTTATGGTTCCCCTTCTCCCAGACTCCCACCCCCACTGCCATCACCCCCCCTTTTACTGCGCATTGTCATCGTCTTCTACATCAAAGCACTTTTTTTTTTCCTTCTCATGGGCTGGTTTGTTTGGTCAGGCAGACCCTAACTGCGTTTTTTTTTTTTAAACTGCGTTGAAATGTATGTGTGGTTGGTTGTGGATTTGGGGGGGGGGGGGGGGGGGGGGGTGTTCATTCCACAGGTGTCACAACTCTGGCTGAGCTTCAGAGTCCGAGCAATACAATCCAGCCGGGTCAGTACACCGACAAGCTCGCAGATTTGCTGCGAGCCAAGCAGACTACGGCGAGCGTCTCTGCGTGAACGAAATTAAGGTCTGATTGACTTTGATGGGTCACCGTGACGCCGCTTTTCCATTCTGTCTCTTCTCTTCCCTTTGTGCAAGTACAAAAATTTCAGAATTTCTCAAGTCAAGTCCATCAAGCATTGATGACTCTTCTGCCGCAGCCAGCTATTCAATTGCTTTCATCGTCCGACCGCCCGATGGGATCGTACAGCCCGTAGGACCCCACCAACTGCTCAAAGCCTTATTAACATCCCCTTTCACTACTTTTTTTTAAAGTTTTTATAAACTTCCACTATTTTTATCCGCTTTTTGATACTTTTATCCGCTTTTTGGGTAAGTTTTTGCTACTTTTATCCGCTTGTACGCTTTCACTATTTTTATCTCCTTTTTTTTTTTCTTCGCTATTTTGAAATCTCTCTCCAAGCTTATTGCACACTTGATTATCGTTTGAAGAAGGTTGAGTAAAAAAGTTTGAAAAACTTTTTGAATATCTGGATAGAGTCCGATAGACCTTTTTTTTGTCAGACTGTATCCAGAGATTCAAAACGTTTTTCAAACTTTTTCCTAAGAAGCAAGGAAGTGTGGTCAAGCTGTTGCAGAAGATTCTCCGCAACTTGTAGCAACAACATGAAAATGGGTGTTGGGTTGATTTTTATGGATTGGTCATTTTGATAGAGTGCTTTTCAGCGGAGTCTTTGAAAATTGAAACTTTTTTTAGGGGGGGGGGGGGGGGGGTCTGATGTTCGCCAACAAAAGCGTATTACAAGTTAGCAGGAACATTCAATTTGATGATGATATATGTTCTTCTTCGTCCTGCGGAGGACGATTGATCGTCTTCTTCGTCATCCTTCAGAAGATGGTCGTCTTCCTCATTATGCAGAGTACGATCGTCTTCTTCACTATGTAGAGAACGATCGTCTTCTTGATCCTCCTCTGGGCGACGATCGTCTACTTCATTCAACCTGCAGAGGATTATCGAATCAACGGTGACGTTTGCATTCAGGAACATGATGATTCACTTCTGCTGTCAGCGGCAGCTCGCAGCCACAGCAGTCATTTATTTCTTCGCTGTGTAGCAGATTTGGCATTCGTTGACCCCTCCAGGGCATCCGACGAGTCGAGAACAAATTGGAACTCTCTTGCGGTTCATGACCCCACCAGATGCGAATATTCTGTGTGTACACTCACTCATCCGTCGTCGACAGGTGGTCGGTTAGCATTGGCTAGTGTTGGTTAGCACTAGTGGTTAGCATTGGCTAGTGTTGGTTAGCACTAGTGGTTAGCACTAGTGGTTAGCATTGGCTAGTGTTGGTTAGCACTAGTGGCTAGTGGTTAGCATTGGCTAGTGTTGGTTAGCAATTAGTGGTTACCATACATATGAGGCAACTTCAAATTGTTTCCTGTTCTGTAATACCACCATGCAATGATGCAAGTTCTTTTCTGTTCTGTAATGCACAGTGCTAAAGTATTTCGTAGTATTTAGTATTTCCCCTTTCTTTTTGCTTGTTTGTTTCAACTTTCGATTGCTTGTTTGTTTATTTGCTTGTCTGTTTTGTTTTGGTTTATCAATGTTCATGTGCACGGGTGCAAATTCTCAATTTCACAAGCACATATAGCAATGACCATTGATCATCGATATGTTATGGCGTTTAGG